TGTCCAGTCAATAAGCGTTAAAATGGGCAGGAAGCTCGCAGTTGGTGAATCGAAATGCTTTGCCTCCATTCGATTCACCGGGGCATGGAGGGAATGGGTCTCTGGAGAATAACTGCCCTCCTGCGCCCTCACTGCCCTTCCGCGAGGTGGTTTATGCCTTGCTTGGTTAGAAGCTCCGCAGAGCTGACTTTGCTTTTGAGAAGGAAGGGCTAAAATTTCCTGTAGCCATTCATTGATGTCAATATCCATTTGCTTCTGCTTCGGATGAGCACTGATCCATCTGGTCGTTATTAAGAGCAGTGTTTGGCAAGAGCCGGTTCGAGACGGGCCGGATCTCTGACTCGAGCCAGCTCGGTTTGCATGATTAATTTCAGCCCGTGGGTGAGGCCCGACCCGGCTCAAGATTTTAGGGTATCATATATAATCACTCGCATCGGGGCGAGTTTTGTTGTTTACTGGCTCTGCTGAAGCACGGGGTTTTCTGTTCCCCCCCGTTTCTGTTAGTTTACTCCCCTCGCCCCTCTCTTTACTCCATATTCATTCTTCTTTCGGCTCTCGTGTGCTTTCTCATCCTTATCCAAGTCGATTTTCGGACAAGCTCCCGTCTAAGCGCCCCCCAATGCTCTCAGCATAATAATATTGACTTACCGGTATTCTAGTGCGATAGTTTTTTATAACCCCTGCTGGTGCTTACTAGAATGCCAGAGTCCGGTGTGATTGGGACTCGCGTTTGTGCCATATTTGCTGGGGCTCGGGCCGGGTTTCTAACCTCCACGGCCAAGCCAGGCTTAGAATGGCCGATTCTAGAGGATTGCATAAACCTGGCTCTCCGGGCCAAATTGCTGGCGTGGCTGCCTGATCAGCGCTAAAGTTCCCCAAATCCCGGGCTGCTATAGTAATATCATACCTCGGAATTAAGACTCGTAATGCGTTTCGCACGATCATTACTCTTACTGCAAGACCTTGCCCATCACTTTGTTTCGACATCACGATTAAGCCCTCCCTCGCTTGTTTTACCGTTGCGATTGTGGCCTCTTCACGCTTCAACCTTCCTCGCCCTGCTTCTCGCCCTTGCTTGTTTTCTTCACTGCCCTACCACGCCTCCCATTCAAGTTTTTCTCCTTCCCCCAGTATTCGTTCATCCTCCGGTTCATGTTATCTCTCTCCTTTTCTCAATCTAAGAAATAAGCGGCCAACCCGCGGGCAGTCACTTCAGTTCCGTAATTCATGTCTATCTCCGGTCCCGGGTTTTGGGGGGGATGACCCAAGTGACTCTTGCTTCAAGCTCAATTATCCAACGCTTTATCAGCAGCCCAGACGGCAGCACATATTATACTCACCCACACCTGATCTCCCCCCCCCCCCTTTGGAAATAGGACGCCTTTCTCCCCACTTATGGTCTCTCGATTATTACAAGTTCTAGAGTGTGGGGTGGTATCCCATACCGTAGCGGCTATAGAAATCGAATTGCAAGTCTGCTTACTATACTATATTCTCTCCTCATAATAGTTGAGGGGGTGTTTGGCGAGCATGATTGTGGTATCAAAGATGTGATTTGGGACGAAGCCGTGATTTCAGGAAAGGAGGGAGAAAAAAATGCGCTTTGAGGGTTTAAACCTTGTGATTTTGAATCGCGGAAATCACTATTTGGAACCGGGATCACATTTGCCAGGTGCCCCTCTAGCATATTGCGCCAGTTCCCTTTGCTTCACTTGGATGGTGTATGATATAACCTCGAAGACGAGTGATAGTATGTGGATACTACCAAACTACTATATCATGAGCATAATATAACCATGAGTTGGCACATGAGAATACAATAAAACTATATTCCTGTTTACGCTGTCGTGGTTTGCATTGAGGGTACGCTAGATAGTGCCGGGGGTTATATATATATATAATAATATTATCATAGAAGAAGAATTGTAACCTAGTCATAACGAGAATGCATTTTCTGGTGATTAACTTGATTATACACCTTTTTGACTACCGACTTGAGGACAGACAGACCCAATTCCCTGAACGGGATCATAAGCTATGAATCTTGTCCGGTGTCGTGGTATCATATCATACTCTTCTGTTATGCACCTATCGCTGTACAGGGCAGCACCCGACAGCCCCGCGTTATTCATCTATAAATCAGTATGATAGCCCCCCCCCCTCCCCTCTTCTAAACATTACCTACCCACCTACCATAGGAGAAGAAAAAAAAAGGCGAGAGTTATTGAGAAGGCAAAAGAAACCCTTTCCCTCCTCTGATTTTTTTGCTGACGGATGCTGGTTTCTAAATTTTATTTTATGTACAGGATCTCTGGCACTACCATCATTGAATCGGTTTTTTTGTGGGGGCGGTAGCCATTTATAATACCATCAGGCCACCAATTTGTAAAGAAAAAACAAACGAACCGTCTTTTCTTGGATAAAAAGGGGGGGGGGGGGAGAAGGGAGTCAGGTGTGGGTAGTTACCGTTCGGAGTCCCTATTCGGATAGTCCAGCTTTGTACTCGTACTGTATGGTACTAGGTCTATCCAGTGATGGGTTCGGGAGCACGACTCTTATTCTAAAAGGGTGGGATTTTGGGGATCTTCAACTGGACTTTGCTGTGTATGGGCTCTGTATTCACAATCTTGAGGGTTATAAAGTAGCCCACTTCGGTATCATCCCTCCGATATCATAGCCATACGGCACCCTCTGTTGTGCCTGCCTTCCTGCCTATTTGTGAGCCCTGGATAGAGATTTTCCGGCGCTCCCACAGCCACCATATCCTCATGGGAATTGCTAAAAAAAAATTGGTATCTTTGGGGTGGGTGAGGGGATGATCTATGGCCTCAACTGGTACTTGGGTACTGGACCCCTCACGTGAACTAAATGGAGAAATCCCGGGTTCAAATTATCTCAATCGCATGGAAGGTGGTAAAGCTCTAGGTATTAAGAAGCCTTCAACAGCTTTTTATTTTTTTTATTTCATCTTATTTTTTTTTATTTTTTAGAAAAGAGTCACATGAGATCACTTTTAACCTCATAAAGAGACATAATTTCGGTAGAGGGTTTCCGAGGAATAAGCTTCCTTCACTTTAGTTTCGGGCCATGTCCACAATACCGGTATTCGACCAACACAGACGGAGAAGATATATGATTGCTGTATACTTGGGCTACGCCGTTGATCGGTAGACCTCCATATATAGGGTGTTCTGGGCCGTCGGAGGGAGGGACTGTCATGAGGGCTAGTCTGGGTGGAAAACGGAGGGAAGAAGGAATAATAATAATAATAATAATAATATGTCGAAGCTGGACTAGAGAGAGCCGCAGCCTGAGGTTTTAAATTTCGGGCGCTGCTCGTAGATGTATCAGTTACGTGGATCTGGCAAGCAAAATTTGGTACATCTTGTTGTAGCTTGCTGCGATAAGGCACATGACCAATATATATCTATCGGCACTACGAGTGATGGCTGGTAGGTGGTGGGTTTTGAGGTGTTTAGTCGCTGGTGGTGGTGGGCCCCCTGGCCCAGCGTGGTTGGAAGCCGGGCGACGAAAACGATTGGGGCCATCCACAAGAGGCCGTTGGATCTTTATGCTTTCTTCCGCATTATCTAGCTGGTGCTCAAAGCTTTACTAATGACATTTACTAGCTGTAACTTAGAGAGGGGGGAATGCCTCCAAAAAGCGAGTGGAAGTATCATACTGCACCGCCGGGCTCTCAGAATGACAAGTATCTCCTTGTGGTGGGGGGTTTGGAATTCCTTCCTAGGCTAGGCTAGGATAATTAGCTACCGGGCGCCGGGTTCACGTTCCTAGGGCCATAACAAAGGGTAGAATTCTGAACAGTTTTGCAGCTTGGGGGGTTGGCACGACGTTCTGGTTGTCTTTTTCTTCTTATACTTTTGCTCTATATATGCGATAATTCTCTCGAAGGTGTTTATGGAGCCTTTTTATTTTATTTTAGGGGTGCCGTGAAGTAGTTTCAAGCGTCCATATAATAGAGAGCGCATGGATTGAGGGGTGTGCATATTTGGCACACCGTTCAAGTCAGGACGGGATACTATTCCTCCCTTTCCTCTTTTAGTGGGTATAGGGTTTTGAAGCTCTAGTTCTTGAATTGGTGATACAGGAACCTTGCTCTTATAGCTTGTAGCTATCGAATATTGATAGTAGAGCATTGGGGCCATAGTGCAATGGGCGCACTGACACCATAAGAGGTGAGGTCCGGGGGCAGTGGTCTGTAGGGTAGGATCTAAGGTGCCTATGGGATGGAGATGGTTCGGAAACCTCAAACACAACATTTGGTTAAAGCAAGGGTTGTTTTCTGTGCGCTTGTCATGTTAAGAGGCTGTATTGCCGTATTCTATAAGGGGTGTTTGACTCACTGTGGTTTGAGCTAGTCACAATCTCAAATTACGGTTTGATACCAAATCATGATTTTAGATGTTCGTAGTGTTTGGCCTTACACTGTTTTCCAATCATGATTTGGAGAAATTTCGGATCATCATCTCACATATTTTTTTAAGGATACCCTAAAGGGTATATAATTTAGGGTAAGATTTTTTTTTGTTATCCCCTGCCACAAATATTAATATCAGATTGTAGAGGATAATATGGGTGTTGATATGCGAAAATGGGCTGGACACCTTAAACTTGGTTTTATGTAATTACAGTTTCAAGTTTGTATAGCAACTACAGAAAAATTGTAAAACAGAACAATATTTCATACTCTCACATGTAACCAGTATTACAAAACTCTTTATAGCAGCCAATTCTACTAATAAAACAATGCTCTGAAATATTTTTCTGATAGCTGAAAACTCAGGCTACCTATGTATGCAAAAAAGAGAAAAGTGTAAAATCTAAAAAAATCTAATTGTGAGTCTATAGATGTACAAATTTCTTTGATAAATATTTTTTAAGACTATTAGAGGGTACTCTACATGCTCAAGAAGTTTCATATGAAGTGAAGTATATTTGTTACGTTGAGAGATTGGTACATTTTTTGCATAACAGCACCCATATAATAATAATTATTATCATACAAAGATCATTAGGATCATTGCACCCTACTTCTACATATTATCATTGGGCATACCCCAAATTGTGATTCCAAATTAGAACTTTTCGGCAAAAAATCTGTTTGCAAATCGTGATTTGAAAAGGGTTCAAGCCCCCGATTTGGAAATTGTGACCCCAATCCACGGCCATCTTAAATCATGGGGAGCCAAACACCACCTAGCTCGTTACGCTCCCGGATCATGGCAGGGTATCACGGGTCCTCTGTTTCCACTTATACCACGATGTACCGTATGCGCTGTACTTCCTGCTGCGATTACTTTGGGAATGTGAACCTCTTTCTCTCAATGACTTGGTTCGGTGATCCCAGACGATAAGTTGTCTGCACGCATGTCTTGGATAGTTAAATTAAGTTCGCTCATTATCATATAGCCCTGGCCAGTCCGGCCGTACCCAAGCCGAGATGTCCGGCCACTGGGGATCACTCCTTCTGCTTGTTATTCCTCCCGAGAATGAGCCTAGGGCCTAGATCGCGGGGGTAAGTTATGGGTCAAGGATCCCAACGGCGCTCCCAACAATCTCAGAACGTTCGGTTTGAAGGATGATCTGACTGATGCATAACACCTAATCCTAACTGGTTCTTTATCAACGAGTAGGAGCTGACAGGCAACTCATCAGGGTGGGTATCAACGGAGAATCCTCCCTTGACTCGGAGGGCTTGTCCGCCGAACGGCGGTCATTGTTTATCAAGCGGGGCTTTCGTTTGCATTATGCCCGCTAGCCTATGGCACCGCTCTCAGCTCCCGTAGCCCTAGATGACCAAGCAGTGGAGTGCCAGCCAACCTACGCACATTCTGTGCTAGTGCCGGCAGTTGGGCCTTTGCGCAACTATCGGAGGGCTGGGCAAAGGGTCGGGGCCCGACCTTTCTGATCGCTCATTCACCTGGGCTTTTAAGCTTAATTCTGCCCCAGTTTCCCCCCGGAATGCACCATCCGAGCTCAAGTGCGCAAATGCTCCAGCTGCCAGTATCGGTGCTTTTTCAGGAAAAGTTCGGGGATCCACACACTTGTGCATGGGCTCGTGCAACATGAACAAATCTTGCAGAGACGACTCACCACTCTCTGTCTGCTGTGGCAGACTCGAGGCTCGGCGTTGAACCGAGAACTCAGGATTATGTAATCGCCTGAGCCGCGTTGCTATCGATCGATTGCGCAATCCGATGTGGAGAATGACGACTTCAACATCTTCCGGGCAGGACTCTCGGCAGCTCCCCCTCCAGCCAGTGTTTTTCGTGAATACCTAGCAGGGCTTCATACTAAACTTTATAGTATGGGCCCAGCCCGATGTTACTTTAATGTTGCCAATGTATTGAACAACGAAAAAAAACAAAAAACAAGATAAGCCAAAATTTACTCGAGACATCGCTCCAAAAAGACCCCGTTCGTCCTTCGTGAATCATTGCTCGATATTCAAGGAAATATCATTAGACAATATTAGGAAAAAAGACAGAATGTCATAAAAAGCCCAGATCGATCACGTAATGTCCAGTCCAGATCAAAAAAGCAAATTCGTCATTACAAAGAAAATGAACCGCTCAAAGGTCTAGAGCAGCCTGGGCATGTCTCCAACTAGGACTCGCCATTCTTAACCTTTGTGCCAACTCCACCCTTCGAGGGCTCCCGCGAAGTGTCAGAATCGTTTGGTGCTGTTGCGGCAGTGTTCTTCTCCACGATAAGGTTCTTCAACCACTTGTTCTCCATCTCCAGTTGCGCGATCTTGGACTCGAGCTGGGTAACCCGATCCGTCATTTCCTTCGCCGTCCTCTCAAGCGCTTGCTCTCGCTGCTTCTTCTTAACCCGGAATCGAGCGGAAGCTGCAGTGTTCCGCCGGCGTTTGTCCTCCTCTGCTGCCACGCGGGAAAGGTCATCGAGGCCGTCCGTCGAGGGGGGTGTAGCCGCTATAGAGGTCTTCCGCTTGCCGGCTTGCGGGGAGAGAGGGGAAGGGGAAGAGGCGTCTGAAGAGGAGGAAGGGGGATGAATGGTGCGATGTGTGGCAGTCGGTGGCATGGGATTCGAGGCTTGGAGTGAAGGGGTAGCGGTAGTTTGAGTGGATGGTTGACTCTCGGATGTGTGGAGGGTAGGAAAGGGCATGTAGTCGAAATCATCATCTATCGGGCAGGGCGTTAGCTTCGAGGTGATATTCCTCCCCTCCACCTCTTTCGTTCCCTAATAATTCTGTGGTTACCCAGGCCAACTTCCGGCTTGCCTATCGAACCCGGCCCCCAAAGAGAACCGATGCCCGCAAACCTCCCTTGTCAAATGATAATATTCGACGAGCAAGTGTTGTGATATGTGCGTCTCCCATCCCCGCTTCCACAGGGGTTGCCCCACCGGATCGGGGCTCTTCACTAATCCCTCCTCCCATAATCCAGAGCACGGGGAATAAAAAAATAAAAATAAAAACACACCGTTTAGAAATCCCAAATGTCCGTCCTTCAACTGCGCCTCCTCGGGAACTGTGAATCGCTCACTTCCTTCCTGTTCCCCATCACCCTCGCCAATATCAAACTCGAAAAATTCCGTGTTTGTATAGAGCGACAAATCACCCGGGTCAAATTCGGCATCCGCATTACCTCCCTCCTCCGGTAACATATTTAGGTCGCGAAGGTACGAGGGCCCTCCTCCGTATCCGGACATAACGTCGTACTATAGCCTTGTAGTTTTTCGCCTAGATAAATGGGTGTGGGGGAATGAAGGGTAGTAAAAGGTAGGAACCACAAATAACAGAGAAAAGTACGCCCTTTACATGCCAAGTAAGCCAGCAGGATGACAAAACCCGAACTGTGATGTCGGGGGCGCTCACTTTTGATTTTTTATCAATGGGGAGGGTACTTCCGGTCGAATCGGGAGTTGCGAGATGTGGGGTTTGTATCGCATCATTCGAGCTTTCACGTTCTAGGCGGGCTAAGGATCGAAACGGCTGACCGAGTGATCTGTTTATGCAGGTGCTAATATGCGGGTGATATCTTGTGATCGACGAATATACTGGGGGACACTGCCTCGTTCTTTATTGAATATTTTTCCACTTTTGCATCTAGGCCCACCGCGGTGAGCTGTTTAGGGTAATTCTTACTGCGCGGCGGGGAAGGGTGGGGGCGGACGACTGAGCGATGAGCTGCTGTTCGGAGGGCTCAAGCGGTCGGCGTTGACCGCGGGTCGTAGTATCTAGCTCTAGCTACCCGACTCCGAGCCCGAGCATGCCATCGTATCATACTATAGTCACATTTACTTCGAAACTTTCCGGACAACTCCTTTCCAACCCTATCCGGCGCTTATGTTCAGCACGTGATCCCGCGAGCTAGGTCCATAGGGCTGTGGTAAGGATTTAAATTTGCCCTACATGCCACTCATGCTTGCATCTACCCCCAACCATCTCTATGGTGCCTTCCAATGACTTCCGCTCCTTCTCCCTCTTCTTCTAGAACGATTGATCATTGTATCCCAAGCTGCAATTACACAGGGATAGGCGTGATATTAGATCTCGCTTGCTCGCTACGAATATCTCTTGGGGGGCTGGTGCCGTTGGATGAGGCGGTAGTTATTAGGGGTGCTGGGCTCTGCGTATGCCACCTGTTTACCCGCCCGGTGCGATTCTGAGAATGGGCAGTTGAAGATCCGGCTCCGGTGGGACGATGTGAGAGTTGACGAAGCGATGATAGAGGTTTTTGGGAGATGGGTTGCTAGGGCTGAGGTTTGTTTGTCTGGTTTTGCCCACTATTTTGTGCTTTGAAGAAGGGTGAATACTAACGAAACATAGATGTGGGAGCAGCTCCTGTTCAAAACTTCCTTACAGATATTTGATAATTCAGAGTGGGACATCATCCGTGACCTGAATACCCCCCCTCTCTTTGCCGTATCGAAGCTGATTATTGGATCAGTTGATCTTTCGCGGCTGGCTACTCCTACGTCTGAGGGGGATACTGAACAATTAATATCCACCGTGTTACCTACCGCTACCCTTATCTGTATTTCTATGGAATTTAGATTTTCTGGATTGGTTAGAGGCCTACCGCTAGCGTCGGTATCGTCGATCATGTCCGTTGCAGATGCCGCGATACGAGGTGTTTGGAGCAGTGGCATCGCGAATGTCGCACCTTTATGTGCACATCCCGGGTACTTGAGAGAAGTAGGCGAGAAGGCAAGTTACATTGGCCTGATGGATGAGGAAATCGGGAAAATCACTCGTAGGATGGGGACCGGGATGACAAGCTATAGGAGTGAGCTATGGAGGGTTTTAATGAAAGGTTTGGGAGAGAAAAAGAGGGGGAGGCTGAAAAGTTTGATCGGGGGTGATGCCAACGAGGGGCTGGAATTGAATGAAACCTCCATGCTCTTAGACAGGCCGGAAGCCGAGGCTGAGGAGGATTTGTTTATTTTTGATGAGGAAGGAGACGACACTTATTTCATGGACCCGTTCGAGGGTGGCTCTGGGGGCTCCGGGCGCTCATCTGAAATCCTCGGATTCATGGGTGATGATGATGATGATGAGCACGAAGAAATGTTCCTTCGGGCCAATTATGACTCCGGCACCTGGATTTAAAGTGTGGTCTCCGGCACCGGAGTTTTAAATAAATCCTCTGTTGTGTTAGAAAAAGATAGTCGATACACTAGAATCCCAAATGATTGAACCGTGCTATGTCGTTCTAGTTGCCTCCTCTGGTGATCTATTTTTCATACTTCTTGCATATCTTTCATAAGGTTAGGCAACTCTCCGGTTGATATATATATGTTTCCCCCCCTTTTCGGGGAAGGAGATTTTGGACTGCCCAGCATACAGTTCAATTTGGGATTCTATGATACAGTACCGGTGTTCATGCTTTGTAGGATCTACGGGGTTTGTCAGTTTTGAATGGGCGGGAACGCTAAACACGGGCCCGATGGGGTATCTCGCGTCTAGGGTCACGTTTCACATGAGCCCAAGCAAATTTTTTAAGAGCCTGTACCGTACCGGTAGGTAGGGTTCCAATCGATCAATGCTTGTTATTCGAACCAAAGCGGTGACACTCCTAGTATCGATTGCATGGAAACGTGTAGCGTTTGCATTTGTTATACGAAATAAGGACTTGTTAGTGAGACTGACGGGTTTTTATGTTCGCGGGGTTACCTGTACCGGTGAGGAAGGCGAATCGCAAGCTGGCGTTTATAACAATATTATTATTATAGTGCCCGTACCAACACGGATACTTTTGGTGATATCTCCTATTTATCTTTCGTGCTTATTACCCCATTATATATTCAATCATTTGTGTACGGTACGAGTACGAGTACAGCACAGGGCGAGCACAGCATTCAACGGGAATCACCAAACCGTCGGGGAGTGGCCTCCATACCGGTGCAGTATTGCCGACACTACCCGTACTGTATTCTCGAATTGTTCAGAAGGTTCACTGCCACAGTGCTTGTCCCGGAAAGGAAATAATACAGCCCGGACCACGCCAAGACGCCGAGGGGAAAAAAGGACACGAACGCTTTCGGGCAGGAGAGCCGCTTGCTTCCGTTGGCTCTTCCCTACTTGGCTCTGATCATCACAACCTTTGCTTGCGCATCCTACTACTGTATCCTTCCCCGTTTAACAACCTCAACACCAACCCTCATTCCTACCGACAAATTTCCCTCCTCCAACTTACCGGACTGGAGGTTCGGGATTCCTATAGACTCCAAACCCTCCAACGCCCTCTGGCTTTACTGGCCCCGAAGAGCTTGCCCTATCGTGTTTTTTTCTCTCCTACTTTCCCTGATTCTACGCCTTTCTTTGTTTCGCGATGCGCTTGGCCGCGTTATCGCTCCTGCTGGGAGCTGCGGCTTCGCTGCTCTCCTCAGCTACAGCCCTCGCCGTTCGCTCGGATAATCCGGGGTCCTCGGCGGATTATTTTGTCAGGTCTCTACCCGGGCAACCCCCAGGGCCGTTGATTAAGATGCACGCTGGGTTAGTAGCTTCTATCGGTTTGCCCTGAAAGAGCCGATCACTCTAACCCCTGGCTATTGATTAAACTTAGGCATATCGAAGTCGACCATGCTACAAATGGAAATCTGTTTTTTTGGCACTATCAGAACAAACATATTGCGAATCGGCAGCGCACAGTAATATGGCTGAACGGTGGACCTGGATGCAGTAGCATGGATGGAGCTTTGATGGAAGTCGGCCCATACAGGTTGAAGGACGACCACACACTTGTGGAGAATGAGGGGAGCTGGCATGAATTTGCCAACCTTCTTTTTGTTGATCAACCGGTCGGGACAGGATTCAGTTATGTCAATACCGATAGCTATTTGACGGAGTTAACACAGGTTGGTTCTTACTCTGATCGGGTAGGCGCTTTCTGCACATTGTTAGTTAACACCTTGTTCCTCTAGATGTCTGATCACTTCATCAAGTTCTTGACAAAGTTTTTTGAGCTCTTCCCTGAGTACGAGAGCGATGACGTAGGATCCCCCCCGCACCCAATCGGGAAGGCCGACTAACGCTTGCCCGTCTTGTAGATCTATCTTTCCGGGGAGTCTTATGCGGGGCAGCACATTCCCTATATAGCAAATGCTATCCTCAAGCGGAATGCCGATGCTGGAATCAAGTGGAATGTTAAGGGTCTCCTCATCGGCAACGGGTGGATCGATCCACCTAACCAATATCTCGCCTATCTTCCGTTTGCCTACGAAAATGGTATTGTGGAGAAGGGATCACCGGTTGCCGACCAAATTGAAAAACAAGTCGCTGTCTGTGTCAAGACAATTGCCGAGCAGGGCAGACATCACGTTGACCTCAACCAGTGCGAGCAGATATTACAAGATATCTTGCAGAAGACTAAGCACCAAAAGGACGGAAAGGAGGTATGCTGGAACATGTACGATGTGCGCTTGGAAGACACTTATCCTTCATGCGGCATGAACTGGCCTCCAGATTTGTCCAGTGTAACCCCTTACCTCCGGAGGAAAGATGTTTTGCAGGCTCTCCATGTCAACCCTGATAAACGTACCGGGTGGACTGAATGTTCTGGTGCCGTTTCTTCCTCTTTCCGTGCTCTTAAGTCGAAGCCGTCTGTGGAGCTGCTACCAGACTTGTTGGAAGAGATGCCTATATTGTTGTTCTCAGGTGATAAGGATCTCATTTGCAATCACATCGGGACTGAAGAACTGATCCATAACATGGAGTGGAATGGTGGAAAGGGATTCGAGCTTGATGGGGCTCCGGGGACTTGGGCGCCTCGGGAAGATTGGGTATTTGAAGGCGAGCCAGCTGGAATATACCAGAGTGCAAGAAACTTGACTTACGTTCTTATCTACAACTCGAGCCATATGGTTCCTTTTGACTTTCCTAGAAGAACGCGGGATATGCTCGACCGATTCATGGAGGTTGATATCGGCAAAATCGGGGGAACCCCAGCCGACAGTGTTATTGGCGGCGAGAAGACGCCAATTACGAGTGTTGGCGGAACGCCCAACTCGACCGCCGCAGTTGAGAAAGAGAAGGAAAGAGTTGCTCAGGCCAGGTGGGCAGCTTATTACCGGTCCGGGGAAGTTGCGTTGGTCCTTGTTGCCAGCGCGGCGGCCATATGGGGGATTTTCATTTGGAAGCAGCGTCGCCGAAGGGGGAATCGTAAGGGGTCTTACGCCGGACTGGGTGGGACAAAAATGACAGGAGGAAGTCGGGATAGACTGGCAGATGGAAGGGAAAGCTTTGACGAGGATGAGCTCAGGGATCTAACTATCGGGAGCCCGATGTTTGAAAGAGACCAGGATCTTGAGGCGGCCGAGATCAGGAGGTATAGTCTTGGCGGAGCCAGCGATGATGAGTCAGACGATGAAGAAAGAGTTGAGAAAAGACCTAGTGAGAAATGAGCCCGAAAATTTAAAGTGGCTTCAGTATCTTCTCTGTTCCCCTCACCGCCTACATTTTTTTCCATTGGATTTGTGTGGGAGGGGGATCGGCGCTCGGAGACCCCAAGAATATCGGGTCGTGTTTAATCGGCGAATTTTGGGCCAAGGTGTGCACGTGTCTACGCAGGGCTGGGTTTCTTTTTCTCATTTTTTTTACCTGTTTTTTTATTTTTATTTTTATTCGAGCATGTAATATGGTTCACGGCAATTTTTTCTGTATTTTGGGAGAACATGGGGCACGATAGAACGCACTTTTGGAAAGATATTTATTTTAATGGCTGCGCACGTCTTAGGGCCGGCGATAAGCTGAGCACGCGGCTGCGCTCCGGCAAACAGCATGCTCATCATTCGGGATCACTCGCGCCTCAAAATACTTTGATGCTTGTGATGCGGGACTAATGGGGGATGGGTTCACGGGCTTGCTATATACCATTCCGACTTTTGTTACGGTGGTTGGATGGAACGGACTTTATACCACTAATGTAATTCCGGGCATTTGTGTACTTTTAGTCTTTAGTTTAGCTCCATGGTTCTCATATGTCTCGACCACCTAAAGTGGACCCTAAGTGGTTTATGATGTATCCTAACTTTGGCAGTGATTAGAGTTATTACCGAGCGCACCAGGTCACTCGAACCAATCTCAATACCGACGGCATGATACGGCACTAGTCGATCGGGAGCTGCACGCTTTCCTTAATGGTGAACATCTCGCGGTGACAGCCGTGGCCGTGGCGTGTAATATATGTCGTGGGGTGTATATGTGAGAATTCCCGTCCGAACACTTTCCACGACCTTTCCCTCCTCTCTCCCTCACGTTCCCTTTATCTCTCTCTTCACAGACATCTTCTTGGTCACTCTTTTGAAAAATGAAAATAAAAATAGGAAAATACCTACTGGCCGGCCAGCCCACGCACAAAATAGTGATTCCCAAGCACCCCATCACGGCAATCGCCCTTGCAGCACTGCGCGTGACCGCAAATCCATCATACAACGTACAAACCGCCTGCGCTTCCCCGAGCACCACCAGAACCGAAAGGGAGACTTCCTAGGTCGCAGTTACGGGGGAGTACTGTGTATCGCGGCTTCGAAGCCCACTTCGCTATCGACGAGGGGGACGAGTACTGTACCGGTATTGCACTAGCACAACCCGCGCTTCGTCCAGCGGGTCTATGATACTCTATCCTCTCGGGCTCTGTGTAGATGGGAGCGCCACGTGGAATACCGGGCCCGGCGTCGGTGACCCCAATCGCTGAGATTGTGGATTGGAAGGTGCTGGGCGTGGGGTACTATAAACGGTGGGGTGAAAAGATACTCGAGTATACTACGGTAGGTTGCAGTTGGAATACCGGTAAGGGGTGCTTGGAGGGGGGGGGTAAACAGGAGTGGCCGGTTTCCGCAAACCTACAATATTAGGGGGTTTGCACGAGTTAGAATACCGGTAGGGTACTGTACCACCCGAGAATCGAGGCCACCCAGTCAGCCCAGTCAACCCAATTGCCTTTTTTTTCCATAAATAGACACCTTCAGCCCCGAGGGTCGCAAAAAGGAAAAAAAGTCTTTTTCGAGTGCCAAGTTTAGAGTTGACCCGTCATTCCGTACCGTAACTCGTATGCAACAAGACATTGCGGTACCGGTAGACTATGATACAGCATCATAAATTTATCATACACACACCGAAAGCTTGAACCCCGAAAAAAAAAAAGGAGAAAACTTGCACAAACCCTTTCTAACCCCCCCCCCCCCCCACGAGCCAAAAGGCTCTAATACGAATGACTCCAATAGTTCGGAATTATGTGTGTGGGAGGTAGGGTATTATGATTACTGTAACTAACTTAGTATGTATTCACACTTGTAATATCATACAACCACCAAAAGCCCATAAAGTTAAGCAACCATGCTCGTACTGTACTAGTACTAGTACAGTACTGTACTCACCGACTCACAACGCCTCACTCGTAAAACCCTATCCCGACGCCTGGCTTTATTTATTTATTTTTATTTTTATTTTCCTTTCAGGTCAATCATCGGCATACTTGGGGGCGGGGGAAGGTTATGTATGTATGTATGTATGTATGAAGGTTTTCCCCGCTTCACAGCATGCTGTGCACGGAATCGCATCTTCCGCAGATCGCTCGCCCGGACGAGTTTTTGAAAGGGTTATTTGTCGTTTCTGGTAAGGTAAGCGTGATGCTGAAGGTTTTCACAGATGTTTTGTCCGTTTGTCTGTTCGGGCCTAAGTTCTGCTAAGGTGTATATCGTAAGTGGTGATGCTGTTGGATGCGTCAATAGGCACCCATAGTGACTTGCTTGCGTGTATGGTACAGTATAGCATATTCCTGATTTAATTGCCTAACTTTATCTTCATGGGCTCTAGAACATTCTAGTCAGAATCGGGGTATTCTTTTTTAGACGGGGTCAAGGGAGGGAGGATTCATGGGGAGGGGGAAGGAGAAGAAGACGGAAAATAATAATAATAATCGGGTAATCAGTGATTATTATCGGAGGAGGAGGGGGAGACTACTCTCATCAGAGAAATTTCTCCGGAGCATGATAACGATTGTATTATTTGGGCTTCGGTTTTTGAGAAGATCCCAGTGAACAGCTGGGCCCATATAACCCCTGGGACAGTAAGGTCTCCAGACCCGAGAAGTGAAGGGTCAGGGTGGAAAGGGGTTATACCGAGTGGGGTTGGTAAGTCTTCAGGGCAGGGAGGGCTGCCCTCGAGTCAAGTGGGCGTTAGAACCGGCGTGTGTTTGTAAGATGTCATGACGGAAGTCTACTATTCTGTATCATACATGAGAAGGCCATCACAAGCGGGGTGTTGGTATGACAGGCACGGGGAGTAATCTGGTATAGAATTGTGGGGACGGAAATCTACATGGGCATTACGCATCCTTGACTTACAGGCCATACTACTCTCCCACCAACCCAATGGCACTTTCAGAAAGTTCCCAGGCGTTTATACTATTTTCGTTATGTATCGGACGAAGAAAATTCGCAGTGATGTTCCCAGTGCGGTTTGTCCACCCCCGGGAGGCAGTTAGCGATCTCTCTCTCGAGAAAAAAAAACAGGCTTTGGCTGCCATACCAACCCCTAACTAAAGTGGTCACGTAATCGTCCGGGGGTTGACTGGGGCTTGGACTTGGGGAATTCGGCAGCATGACCGATTGATTGATCTTCGTCTCCGTCAGGTGAAGCTTGCTCTTGCAGTCCTCCTTCATCTCCCATCTTCGTCTTCTTCATAGCACTGGTCTGAGTCCGGCGATATACGTGCCTGCATCTGCTCATTGCGGGAGAGAGGAAGGCCCGGTGGTTGGGCAATCCATGTTTGAGATACTGGCCCAGCCCGGTCGGCCAAGGGCTTCTGATTTCCCGATCTTGACCATCTCATACCTTCTAGAAAAGGCAAGTGTGCCCACTTCGAGCCTCTCTCAATCCATTCACACGAGGTCACTCGGAGTTTTGGCAGGGTTGCTGGATAGGATGCATAGAACGGACTTTCTTTCTATCATATTAAGACTGCTACTTACCGCTGATGGCGGTGGTATTCTATTGCAAGTAGCGCTTTAAATATTTGAACGCTCACAATTCAATTCTCGGCACGATCCAAGTTACTATAGTTGCCTTTCCGACAGCGTTTGGCACTCTTCACCATACTATCACTTTCAGGACGCATATATATCCTCCTATCGAACCTCCCTTACCTCCCGCTACTCGCCCCGCCCAAGGTTTCGCAACGAAACATAGCTATTCCCTCCTTCCATCCAATTCCACGACACTCCCCCAGCTCTTTCTCTCGAAGGAATCCCCCAGCACAACAGTCCCAACAGCAAGGCCACCACGCAAGCATAAAGGTCAGCGCCCAATATGTCAACATCAAGTGTATCCACCATCCCGAAAACAACCCGCCATTCCCGACTCCTCGCGCATGCCTTCCTCCTAATCTCCACAAACTCGCTCACACTCTGCCTCCTCTACACCCTGAAGATAAGCCCTTCAAAGCAACACTTCGGATTCCGCGCAAAGCTAGCGGTTCTACAGACAACTTGGCTGGTCGTCTCAGGACTCGTGTTGGTCGTGTCGCTATGCTATCTGATATCCAGTTACTACCGGGGACACCAGCGGCGGATGGTTGCCGCAGCTGCGAGGCACAACATCGAGGTAGGGGTGAGGGGAATAGGAGGAGAGGAAGGAGGAGGGGGAGAGGGAGAAGGAGAAGGAGGGGGGAACGGGAGAAGGGGAGCAGCGGGGTTGATAGCGGGGCCACCATACGAGCTACAGCGAAGGCCCGGAAGTATCTTCTCCAGAGCACTAGCACTAGCTAGAGGACAGGGAAATCGGCCAAATCCAACACTCGTGTTGGAGGGTGGGGGTATGGACGCCGTTAGGGAGAAAGAGAGAAGACGCGGTCCAGTCTACACCCAGCAGAAACCGCTGCCACCGAATCCACCTACGGAGGACGAAGATGAAGATGACGATGAAGATGAAGATGAGCAACTACGGAGGCCAGAACCTTGGCAGAGGACTCCGGAAGCAGCAGCAGTCAATAACTTGCCGAGGGCCCCGCGAAACCCTCTTACCGGGCCCAACACGGCCATTCACCCAGGCAGAAACACAGGTGCTGGCGCGATACTACCGTTCGGGCAGGCCAATGTGAACTCCGTGGGTGGTGCTCCGGGAGTTCGTGTCGGCGCGCGGGGTGGAGGGGTTGATGACGATAACGACGGCGAGAGTGTGTTCGGTTCGCAGCCTTTGTACGCGAATAGCGAACTCCGTGATGTTATTGGTAGATATTTGTAGTGTGAGGAGGAAGGGGTAATGACCGGCGGCACGGATTTTGGTAAATATGCTTCCCGTGGCGAGGGTTGATTGGTCTCTGTTTTGTTTTGTTCTGTTCTGTTTGGGGCGTAACTTATTAGTTCTATGTAGTTAGAGATAGGTGAATATTCTCGTGTGCTTGTAACCGTCAGATCGATCGTAGCCCAACAAATAAACGGGTGCGCTGGATTTGAGTAGCATCTCTTGCTCCGGTCCATGGATTACTCGATCTCAATTTCATGCTCTACTGAGCCTACCTAACCAGCTCGGTGCAGCAGCAACCAGGGTGCCCCAAAATTCCCCCGTCCACTGCCTCTTATGCCAGAAACCCGAACGGGAATTTCAAGTTGTAGTGTATCGACAGAACAATCACAATCACAATCACGATACATTAGACATGGCGTAGCATTATGGTACAAAGAACTAGCCTAATTACAGTATGACCCTATGACAGAAAATGAGCCTAGCCGACAATGTCCAACATCATTTCGGTGGGAAGCTTACTCCAACTCCATTCCCGAAACATCGCCCAATAGCCCGCTGCCCATAAGATCCCCCTCCCCGAGCCCCCCATCGCCCAATAATCCAGCCATTCCATCATCGCCCATAGCAAGATCAAGATCTACGCCTTCGCCATCTCCACCAACACCCATACCCGGTTGCTGCCCCCCCGTAGCATCAACTCCACCACCAACAGTAGCGTTCTGATGCATAGGGCTGAACGGTGTCAATTGGGTCTCGACCTTCCTCAATATGCTTCGCAACGCTTCAGCTTTAACGCCTTCGTTCCCACTTTCTTCCGCCTCTTCGGCCCTTAAAGCCTCCAAAAGCCCCATCTTTCCACCCCCTCCCCCGGTTCCCCCTTCCTCGGTTGGGAAACCCATGGACAGAATCATACTCATTGCAACATCCTCGGCGTATCCCGGGGTCGTGCCCTGGATCCGGCACTTGACTACCTCACCGACAATCCCTCTCACTGTGTTTCCTGCCCCTAAGACCCTCCAAGTAGCCAGTATCAGACGATGCGTGTAGGTCGCGCTCGGCCGAACAATATTGATATCCCCTTGGCTCGTGCTCCAATTCACCAGGCTTTGGAATGCAAGCCCCAGTGACTGCATCAGACCTCCACCGCCAGCATGGTGAGTCCAGTTCTCAAGTTCATCCCTTGTAGCTGCACCGTTACGCTTAAAAGAGGTGTATGGTAGCAGGTTTGCAACGAGCGCCTCCACAGTACTTTGGTGGCTACCTGCGGTCCCACGCCGAACTAGCTCTCTGAGCACACGCTCAAGTTGTCTAGCGGATATCGAAATCACGGTTTTGTGAACTTCTGAGGCGTCCGGGGAGATACTCGATGGCACCAAAAGGGAATGGAGAATCTGGACCGGAACGGAAATATCCTCATGAGATTCCCACAGATGATTTCCTAGCCACCCGAGGCCACCCACTAGAGAGGGAAGTAGAAAGGGCTCAAGGAGGACTAGCACAAAATTGTCAACTTCTGTTTAAGGTATTCGGATGATGGTGGGTGAACACATACATGCGAACCCCTCCTTTAGGGTATCTATATCCAAAATTCCACTTTCGCAAGCCATCACAGACTGCATGAATAATGTTGGTACCAGTTTGTAAAAGTCCTGGGGTCTGCAAGAGCTCATAAGACCGTCACTTATCCCTTCACCTTCAAAAATTTCCCGGATCCATCCTCCAAGTTGTGCATGTTTATCTGAAGACTCAAAGTTCTCGATCCTTTGGCTTGTAGATCCCTTGGACAGAAGTTGAGGGATGAAAGAATCGGTATTTGGAGTACTAGATGATGTCAGGTCGGCCATCTGTATATCATACCGGTGTATCAAAGTTAAAACCAGAAGGAGGATATATCCAAACTCCTCATATACTGGTTGATATTCACCTGAATTCTCTTGTCAGTACCCAAAAAAAACCCCTAACGACAATGGGGTGTTGGGACGAACCTTGGTCTTCTTCATATCTCCAGGTATCCAACAGTTCACACAATGGTTCCAAGAGACATACTGGCTTGACAAAAAGCAGCATTACATCCAAACTGCTTGTTTTCCTTGCCAGAAAGCTGCATATACTCCTAAGTGGCATGGTCTCTTTCTGTTCACACATATTCCGCATCATCTAGAACATTGGTCAGTATGTACTAAAAAGCGGTTCTTCGGACATGATGGTAGATAGTCACCTCTACAACAGTTCTAACAACAGCTCCCGAGTTTCCCTCCACACCCTCGATTTCTTCAAGTAGCCTTTCTAATTTCTCCGGGTCCATTGCACACTGGTTCATTAATTCCCCTACGTCGTACCTACCGGCAACAGGCAATGCCCCAAGTGGCAACTCTCCTATGATACCCTGGATATCTTCTTCCCCTACAACCCCGTGTAGTGCACAGGCAAAGAGAAATTCCTGCCTCAAGTCCACCAGGGTATTGAATAACATATCCGGGTTCGTGCTCGTGTTGTGAGAATAAGGATCGAACGAGGAAGGCGGGGGGTTGGCAAGGGTAGAGGTATCCGTCCTGAGAAGAGCCTGAGAAAGAGCATACGACGCAATCATCGGAGAAGGCGACAGATGCGACAACAAGACAGGGACTTTGTTTGTGAGAAAAGAGCGAAGAAGAAAGAGCGTGCTAGCCGCTTCACCACGAAGGATGGCATTAGATAATACATCGAGAACAGCGGTCACGAAGTCCACAAGAAGATTGTTAACATCATTCTAACACATTTGGGTTCAGTATATCGACCAGAATTCAGACGAACTCTGTGGGGCTAAACTAACCCTGTATCTGCTGTAAAGGTACCCAATCACCGCTTCGTCATCAACCTGTGGCCGCCCAGTCAACTGACACACACAGCATTAGCACTTGATTATAGCCAACTGGAAATCCCCGAGCTCCCTAGTCCGAGGTGCCCAGACTGCGGTCACTTGGAATTAAACTAACCAAGCCATTAAGCCAGACGAACAGCCCACCCCTTGAACAGATCACCGGTCCATCATTATCTGCGCCATCACCTATCCCCATCATTCCGTCAATCGTCTCAGCGCCCTTAGCATTCCGAGAATTTCTGTTCTGTTGCGGGCTCTGCTGACTCTGTTGATGCCGAATCAAGCCCTCCATCCTGGCAGCCAGCGCCGGATTTTGGACTTGGATATATTGCATAAACAAGCTCAAACTGGTTTGAAACATTAATCTTCGTTCCTTCCTCCCTCCTTCCACTAGTATCCTTCTCACGTCCTCGTTATTTCCAATAGCGATAGTAAGTTCAACCAATGCTTCCAACCGTCCCTTCCCAACATCCATAGATCCCGCCACATCGTCCCCGGGCTCATCTAGCATTCCTTCTCCACTAATAGCCACAACAGCCTCCATCCAGTCACTCAATGCTTGAATAGTAGCCCATACAAAGTCGTTTGACCTTGGCTTATACTCCCTCAACACTGTCACCAGAACTGTGAAAATATCCTCTTCAAGAGCTTCCCGGTTCGCATTCATCCCAATGCCTCCAACCGTAGAACCGTGGCCCGAGGAAGATGATGTTGGCACTGCGGACCTGGCGGAAGACGTACGCAGCAGCGCAACCAAAACGTCAGGAAGACTGACAATGTCTTTTTCAAGCAAACGCTGGATGTACTCCAGATGCAGGGGATCGACTCTGGACGAAATAGTCGGAGAAAGTATTATGGGGCATATTGAGGAGGATGGAAGCGGAGATTTGAGTAACAGCTGGGAGACATATTCCCCGAACTACAAATTCGCGGTCAGCTAGGGATCAGCTATCCAAACATGCTCTGGTAGGATAGATTTGGTAGATACGGACTGCATCAACGGGTGTGCGCTTGAGCAAGCATTTACGGAAGAGGTTATGGTATATCTGAGCACGAAGAGACGCACTGGACGAGGAAGACATGGTGGGGTGGGGGGTTGAGAGTGTGTATCATAGAAAATGCCGTTTAACGGAGGATCGCCAGCCCTGGACGGGAGCTTATATAACCTGACACAAAATAGGCTCAGGGTTAGGGCTCGGGAATGGAGGCTCTGCCCCCAAGGGATGGTCAACTGCACCGTAACCACAATGCAGCACAGTGCTCGAGCACCCTTTCATAAAAGTAGGATCGACCCAACTGCCCCCCTGCCATTTGACCAAAGTGTGGCAATCCAAGGGCCTTCCTGCACTCGGCTCCAATCGAACTATGATATTACAAAAATAAAATATTGTGCGATACTATACAAGCGCTCGAGTACCAGTACACTTCACCCGCTATACTCGAGTACTGTACTGCTCATATTGGACTATAGTAAATCTACATAATATTCTCCGCCCTGGCTCTATCATAATACCACAAAAAAAAAAAAAAAAAAACGTTAGATATCCGGTACCCTATCGCCTAAAAATACTTAAGTGGCCTCCCCTCCCACAAACACCTCCACCAGTGCACCACACTAGGTTTAACGCTATTACAAACCCACCAGCTTAATACCATTAATTCCCGATAGGCTATCGGATTCGTATCAAGTCCAACCCTCTTCACTCCACAAATAAACCATATCAAATTCCCGCGAAGCTGCCAAGACTTCGGAATGCAGGAGTCATAACCCACTTCCGCGGCTACCTGTCCGGGGCGCCCTCTTCCCCAACATCCAGTCCTCCATTGCGAGCCACCCAGACCATATATCCTCTGCTCCCTCAAGCTCTCCCTCAGAAATCTTCCTCAGTGGCTGCAGATATGGTATGCACTCGTCTGTGACCATATCATAGTCCCGCTTAGCCGTCGCCCACCCCCCACTTTTTGCGGCGAAGAGAAAATTCCTCCTCTCCTGTTCATGCTGTGGCCCAATGCCACACTCCCAGTCATTCCCAAACCAGCCGTGGAGGATCGCCGGTGCATCAAACCCTGTAGCAACTAACCGACGAATATAAGGATATAACGACACCCAATCGTACGAAGGCATTGTGGGATGAAGTTGCGTTTGAGCAAGAGGAGGGGGAGGGTGGAAGCCCCCAAGAGGCCGAAATGGGGGCGGGGGTTGAACTGGTGTCGATCCCGTGGACGGGTTGGAAGATCCCGCCACACGTTGGAACGGCAATTTGATATTTATGAACGCAGCCAGTGCCTGACAAGGATAACTGTGTTGGGCGACCTCAACAAAGTAGCGTTGGCAACTTTGATGCTTAGGATACCAGGCGATGACGTCGAACCCTCCAACAGTACCATCGGTTTCACCGCCTGAGCCACTCGATGGTCCTGATGACTGTCGATGCGAGCCTGATCCCGAGGCGCCACCGTTATGGAAACAAGAAAATGACGACGCATATGGATTGAGCTCCATCCTTCTCCCCCGCCTTCCCCTTCAATAGATCGTGAGGACCGTGTTGGAGGGTTCAAAGCCCAAAAAATAGTGAATTCAAGCTTTCAGATGCGGAGTCTACCCAGTGGGCAGCTTCATCCAGTGCAAACAGCTTCGCCTATGCTTTGCTAGGAGACGAGACTCAAAGAGGTTTGTTGTGTTATTATAACCGGGGAATAGTTGATCAGCGGAGAAGATGCCGTAACGCTCCGACTACCGGTGTCTATTGCAAACGCGGAATGGGCTGGTTCAGCTTCAAGTGGATGAGGTAGAGAAGCACTTTCAGGACAGGTCTTCTCCTCGATGTCATGCGGCCTCCTCTGATACTGCTCCGCGCTGCGTACTATTTATATGTTCGTCTGTGCCCATCCGATCCGTCTCCTGGCTGTTTGGGCGTCTTCTGCTGCAGTTGAGACGCGCGGGTGAAGGTGCGGATGCAGATCACTGCAGTTATCAGTTCAACCCAACCCATTACAGGCGGTGGCAAGGCAACTGGATAAAAAGCAAAATCCTACACCACATTCAGCTCTTGCCTCAGTGAACTAAAGGCGAAATAAAGACTCGGCACCACCTCCACGCCAGGAAGGAGATGTTCTCAACTTACGGTAACCGAGAAATAGGTATTCACAGCCCGGCAAGAACTCACAATGCCCATTATGGAAAATAATATAGCAGTTTGTAGACGCCCGTAGACTACGGTACTTCCGACCCGATATGTTGTTGTAGGACTTCTCTCACCGAGGGGTTGGCATGCTGCCATTGTTCACTGTACTCTCCAGCAATCTCTGCGATCCTTCGCATAGCAAACACCTGCATGTAAGATGTCAAACCGGCGTTCGTGTGAGCAAACCCGGTCGGAGGTTTGCAAACGCCCAGCCGCCGCTGTGCCCGGCCCGTCGTGGCGCCCTTGAGAGGGTCCATGGTTGAAACCATTACTCGATCTACTCGTAGACTCCAGACCTACCGGTATCGGCACCCCCAACACTATCGATCTTGCTGGCACTGGAAAGTCTACTCAGGCGCGCCCATAAAATCGGAAAAATCATAGCTCCTGTCTCCAAAGAAAATTGTATGGGACCAGCAGAAATATTTTTCCAATTCCTACTGACACCCCAGCAGGATGATTAACCATTTTGAGAAGATGCGGGCAGGCGGGTTGCCGTACTCTCCCTTTCCGATGCTCTGGACGCCACCAAATCTGGGCACGCTGTCGAAAAGACAAAGGGTGCAGGAATTCACACCGCACCAAGCCCTCGGCCTTACCATAGAGGGAAACCAAGTACCGGTACCGTATCTGAGCAGCAATCTTTACAGTCATTGGTATGAATGCCCGCTTGAAGCCCGGCAGTGAATGCAGGAAACCAGCGGTACCGTATTAACCCGTCATATCCAGTATCGCCGCACAGGGCTCTCATCTCCGTTTTGAGACAAAAGCTCCCTAGAAAACCAAGTACTGAACGGAACAGCTATGCGAGGATCCCTATAACATCAAGACCCATCAAGCTCCTATCAACCTAGGATCAACCTGAAATCCTTCTGGCTGTGGGGATCAAACCTTCCTAAGGCGCTACCCAATTCGACGAGTTAATACGGTACTGCGGGTCACGTAGAGGCACATCACGACCAATTCCGTTGACCACTCTCCTGGTGAGGCCGGCATATCCCTATCTTGCATCTAGAGACCCCCAAGTATGATACCATGGTAATCGGCAGGGAAGACGCTCCCCTCAACACCTCACCGGAGTGCCGTAGTCTCCCACGGCACGGCCAGTGTGATCCAAGCAGACGCAAAAATCATCTCTCTACCAGCACCCCCGTTAAGAATTGGTGCTCAGAAAACTAACCTTCCGTGGTTGTCATACATGTTGGCATCAACACTCTGGAGTAACTACTTGCTATAAAGCAATCCCACCACGTGAGATTGTGCATGAGTTTTCTCAAGAACACAGCTGTACGGTGCGCGCACCAGCTAGTACGAAGTATGCTACCCCGCGCCAGGGTATCAAGCTTGCGCCAGCATTTGAGCTTAGTGCCAGGCACCCAGGTGTGCCATACTCGCTGTGATTCCCGACAACAAAGGTCATGTAACTCGTATTCTAGTATGGCAAACGCCTCCATGAACCAGTAACGTGGGGGTTGTGCTTAAACAAACATGTTCTACAGAGCAATCTCCCCGCTCCCGCTAGAGATCTCGGGCTGATAGACGCTCAATTCCTATCTTACCTTAGCCTCAACCTCTTACCTCCTAACACTCACCGACCACTCACTACTAGCCCGTTAGTGCAGATACTTGCACAGTATCAAAGAAGGGGAAAAATAATTGCTCCTCCCACCAATGCCCACGTTCCTCGGATGTCTCGTCCCTGCTTTTCCCGTCCCTAAAACCGGGTGCCATGCCCCTTCGGACTTCGGTATTTAAGACCAATCACTCGACCAGACATCTTACCTATATTTATAACAATAACCAATTATTCAGACAAACCCTGAGTGTCCGGGGTCTGCGGGAGGCAGTCAGACCGCCAACAGGAAATAGCTTCCCCTCCCAACAGATATTTTGGCATCATGTTGCACCATACTTAGCAATCGCAAAGACTTGAGGCATCAATATCCGGAAATCATCCCTCGCATCTTATCACGACTTTGGAAGTTCTTGGTGAGCAAGACAAGATTGAAAAAAAATCCTCCTTTGTGCTCCAGACATATCCCCAGGACATCATGATGGCATCAAGTCTGGACCAGGAGGGGGGCAATCCTTGGAACCATGGTTGGTCGTCTGAGTGAGCCACCCGCTGTTGAAGCCGGACCCTCCTTCAAGGGTCAAAATTTACCCAATGCCGTATACTTTCCCTCTCCCCCCCAATCCCGTAAATTACCACGTTTATCCGAGACACAATGACAAAAAAATTCAACTTTTCCTAGTTCCTCGAGAGTCGCTGGAGTCATAATAAAGCGAAGCAGTAATGGTGAACTATCCCCCTGACTTGCGGTCTCCACCTAGAATATCAGAACTCCTGTAATACTCCGCGCCCATTCGCCAACAACTTTTACCCACCATTCCCGGGAGACAAACACTACAGTCCTGGTTTCGCGGGGCAGATGTTAGTCGGAGTGATGGATAGAAGGACGGCGAGCATGAAAACCAGTGCTACCGGTACAGTACGCAATGGCAGCAATGCCAAACCAAATCCCTGGTTTGTCCCACCCACCAGGCTTCCCGCATGTGCTGTATTGTACTGTACGAGTACAGTCACACCTCGCTATCCCGGACGGCCAAAATCCGAAGAATTTGTCCGGTACAGCGAGGGATCCGGGACAGCGGGTGAGGTTTTGGTGGAAAGAAATTCAGAGTTTAACGAGAGTCATATGGGACAGCGAGGTATCCGGATTATCGAGATCCGGGACAGCGGGGTGTGACTGTACCCTACAAAAAATAAAAATTCAGGGTATGGTAACACAGAGACTACCTGAGGACATCAACAATCCCTCACAAGCAACCCCAATGTCCCACATGAAGAATCTTCAGTGCCCGCCCCCGCAGTCTTCAAGAGAGTCCTCGAATTGAAAAAAAAAAATTCAGCAGTACGAGTACTTTTTCTCAAGCTTCAGGTTTGGCTGTCAGGGATAACCTATCCCCACTAAGCGTCCCCGTTCCGAGGCGGCAAAAAGTGGGGGGTGGGGTCACTTTCACTCAATATCTGACCCTTCAAACTTGATTTGCTAAGATAGAAGGAGCAAGCTGTCGGACCTATGCATGCAGCCAGCGCGCACCCGAGCATCGAGGCTATTTTCTATGCTATGATAGTATGTAAAGAATCGAAGGATCCCCCTTTATCTCCTGTACAGTACGATCCACTCTTTACGAAAAGTCACGGACGTTAGAAACATCACCCGGCTTCAGCTAGCACTCGTACAGCATACATCAAAGACATACCGGCTATAGAGGCAAACAAACAAAAGACTCCCGCCCCCGGCCAGTTTCCGCATATGGAATCGCTAGCAGATCTGAATGGTGTCGGTCCAGCTCAGCAAATCGCTCCTCATTTGGATGGGCTGAGGCCCAGTCTCCCAGCTCAGAACTGCGATCCAAGATAAGCCTGCACGCACCACATACACCGAAACATATATGGTTGTTTTGAATCTTCTAAGTCGCTTGAATCGACAATTCGGTTCTCGCCGCAGCATCATTCACTCCAATCCAGAATTCTATCACTCACAAAAGCCACGAACAGCTACCAGCCGGTTGCGTCAAGCGGGCCAATAGAACCACGTCCCGAGCGGGAAGACGCTTCGCGAAACTTATCCAACAGCAACATCAGCCAACCAAAAAGCGATGATCCCAACGCCACCTAAGCTTACTGGCCGACTATGACCGAGACATTTCGAGTGATATTATGTGATTGGACGAGGGATCGCTGTTCTCTCCCCTCCAGACCCCAGAGAATCTTCAAGACGGATCGGGTGTGGTGAGTGAGCGGCTAGTTCGATTAGGATACCGTGTAGCACGATATGCGTGATAACTACCCCTTCACCCCGCGTGACCCTGCTCGTTAGGCTAGGGTGCTAGGCTATCCACCTGTGGGAAGTATAATTCGAGCTATCATACAGGTCCATTGGTGATTACCGTGGGAACTGGCTGCGTTGGCCCGGTTTCTCGGTTTCGATTCGGTTCATGAGACCTCACTCTCCTAAAGTCGCCGATGTGGAGCCACGCAGGATAATATCAGGCATCGCACGGCATGCACTGATATTCCGAGACCCAGCACTTTCCACTAATTCACTTGCCTTTTCCTCAGCCAGTCCCAACTGTTGGGCTCACTTCAGGACGGCTTCCTCTATCTTCCTCATACCTCTACTTTCAAATTCTCCCTCACAGAATGATTCTGTATCATACTCATTTCATTTTAAACCTTAGGGACTTTGTTGCACCGCCCTCTAACCTCTCAGGTGCAATCACAAACCATACTCGTATAAACTTTGGGTACCCAGTATCTCTATAGTCTACACAAATCCCCCCGTTTCGACCCTCGACGCATGCCGAAATTTTCCTGATCCTACAGTAGCCAAAAATTCCATCAGATTCCCGTTCTAGCGATGCTTAGCCCTGAGGAAACAATATGAATCACAAAGTGCCGGCTCCCCAACTCCCAACATATTTTCCCAGGGGCGCTTGCTCTCGAAGCTTACTGGGCGAAGCATCATATGAAAACAACCACCTTGGTGCAAGTGGAGCCAGCATCAAGACCCTGAAAATGGTACTTTATACGAAGGAGAGGGCCACTCAGGTATCTAAGAAATCATGTAGTATCGCTAAAATCCCGAGGTGGGCTTACCCTCTGTGATGGGCCCCTTCGCTCTAATCCCGTTGCCCGGTGGTCAACGGAGCGATTATCCAAAGTATCACGGGTCA